CCTTAATGATTCTGTGATTCTGTAAAAGATAGTATATTTAGACTAGACATAAGAAAAAAAAAATTCACAATGAAGTTGGTGAAGCATTGTCACAGGTTGCCCAGAAAGGTGGTATATGCCCCATCCCTGGAAACAATCAAGGTCAGGTTGAATGAAATGAAATGAAATGAAATGAAATGAAATGAAATGAAATGAAATGAAATGAAATGAAATATACTGACCTGAAAAAAATACAAGTTCTATTTCAGGGCATGCAATATCTGTATAGTAATAATCCCCATGTAGGTTTAATGTGTTTAGACCTAAGTGTAAACCTCCTACTCTCTGCTTTCTGCAAATCTCTTACATACATAAACAAAAAATCCCAATGAGATTTAGCAATCATTCTCTCAGTTCCTGCCTCCGACATTTTGTTGTTGTTGTTTTCAAATGGATGTCAGCTAAGTCTGATCACCTATCCAGTTTATGTTTACCTAAGCAGTTAAGTCATCTTTCAGAGCATTTTTATTTGGCCCAGTTCTACCTCAGTTCTTTTAGGGCTAGGATATATTTTTTGGGGGGGTTGTGTGTGCTGCAGTTTGCCACAGAGAACCTGTGTTACTTCTAAGATTAGTGATTTTGCAGAGCTCCACAGGTTGTTTGGAATGGATTAGGATCTGTTTCATTGTACTTCTCAAATTCCCCTCAAACGAAAAACTTGCTCTCCTCTCATACTTGACAAATTCACATTCTTAATTAAATCCACAAGAAACTGTGCCTGTAGTTCTAAACAGAAGAGCCTTTGGACTTTGCTTTACAAAATTTTAATATGAAGTTCTGTGTTCATACTTATGGTTCCCTAGCTCCCAAACGGGGCTTTTTTCCTCACCCATTTGTAAATTGCTGTAAACCTCATGTAAAGATAGCAGGAGAAGGCCCAGAGAACATCAGTTGCAGTGTAATTGCAACATGTTTGTGGCTCCGTGTGTCCTTTCCAGGCAAATCATTGTGCATATGAAAAATCTGGAAGACCTATATCTGGAAGGTTAAAGGTAAAACGTTGGACAATACCAGCTGCTTCAAACTGACTTAATTCCAGAATTAGCAAAATTTGCTGAAGAGGACCATTTTTGTTTCCTTTCATGCTGGGAGTCAGATTTTCCTGGAACAGATTTTAATATCAGCAATGAAAATAATACTATGTCTAGCATGTGACAAGGAGTTAATAAAACATAGGGGAAACAGGACCATGACGTAAGCATGCTTAACACACCATACAAAGTAATAAAATGACAGATACACTGAAATGTCTAAATATTAAAAGCATACTTGTTTTTATTAAAAAAAGAAAAGGCAAGACACACAAATGCTTTACCTGACAATAAAATCAAACTCCGATCCTGCGAGCATTAACACTCCAAACAGAGTGGACACAGCTCCATCCAACACTGGTGCAAACATATGTTCCAATGCAAGGACAGCCCTACGGTTCTTGTCTCCTACGGCAGTTAAAAATGCCTGTAAAACAATGAAATCCATTTCATTAGAGACGTACAGCCTTTCAAACAGCCTCTCTCTTAGTATGCAGTTTTTCACCAGTTAATTACTTCAATTTACAGTCCATTAAAGTATCTCTATAGCTGGCTGGACTTCAAGACAAGGTCTGATCCTGCAGTTATACCATATAACTGCTGCTGAAGTCACATGACCAGAGTAAGCATTGATTACAGAGTTGGAGCCATAGTAATAATTTTGGAAACAATGCACGCCTGTACCAGTAGGCTTTTAATTTGTTTCTCGGTTTGCTTGTTTCCACACGCAAAGAATTCATTTTATAGTAAAAGCACTTCAGGTGTAAAAATTATAGGGCTGTTCTTGTCACTCTCATGAGGGCATAGCTTCCATGACTGTCATGGGAAGTTTGCTGTAAAACTAGCCAATACTGATTCAGGTTTTCCTGAATACACTTGGAACAGACCAAGGGCTTGCAACTTATGCTCACGCACACAGTCACATCCATGGTAGCATTTACTAGTGGATCAGGTCTTTCTGTCACTTTACACAGAAGTGTCCACTGATACAGTGCATTTCTCCTCACAGGTCTGAGGATCCACACTACTGATGGAAAGTTGCCAGTGTATTCAACAGGCCCAGTATAAAGTAACACTACTAAGTCATGTGCTGCTTTTTTTACATTCCTATTTCACTCAAGATGAATGTTTTTGCAATTTTTTCTACTTCAAACCTAGCAGCACTATACTACACCCAACTATATAGCATACTTAGCTAGCAGCACTATATATGCCCAACTCCGTACCATGAGTTGTTGTGTACATCTACAACATGTAGAAGCCGGGTGGTGCCGGCTGCCCCTGCAGCCAGTTTAAACCTTGGGAATCCACATATAACCAGCCCCTAGGGAGCTCCAGCAACCAGGAGTGCTGCAAACAGGGTGTGCAAACAGGGAGCGTCATCTGAGAGGAGCAGTGTGGATGTTTGCATGGAAGGGTGCGTGAGAAGGGTGGCGCACTCTACCAGTTGTCAGGCTGCTGCCTGCTCTGCTTACCCGCAGGCTTCAGCTGTGGCCCCGACGATCACCCCAGCTAGCTGTTGGCTGTGCAAACCTATCCAGCAGCTTGAGGTCTCCAGGGAATTAGAAAGGCTTATTAGACGGTGCTTTGGGATCGTCGGAAGCATGGTGGCAGAGACTCAGCAAGGGCTGCACTCTGCAGCAGCCGGGAACAATCTACCTAGCCAGGCCAGCCTGGGACGAGTGGAGGCAACCACCCAGATGGAGCTTCCTATCAGGGAAGCTGCTGTCCAGCTGGAGGGCTGTAAAGTCTGTACCCCACACTCCTGGGTGGAGGAGGGTGCAAGCTCCATCTGTGCAAGGTGTGCTCTGGTGGAGTCACTCAGGCAGTGAGTGGAGGAGCTGAAGGAGGAAGTCAGCAGGCTACGCTGTATTAGGGAGGGGGAACAAGAAATAGATAGAGTATTATTCGAGACTTTGCAAGAAGAAATACTTGGTCCCCGTGGCACTGACCTCCAAGGACTACCAGACAAAGAGTGTCAACAGCGAACAGACAGCACCTTGGAGAAGGAGGTGCCATGGTCTCTGGTGACTCGTGGCAACAGGATATCACTTCCTCCCCCATTTCCTTGTATGTACCAACCAGCAACAGATACGAAGTCTTGGCAGTGGGTGAAGCCAGTGAACAAGACTCACAGGGAGAAACCGCACCAGTTGCACACTCTAAAAACTGCAAGAGGAAGCAGCAAGTGCTAGTAGTAGGTGACTCTGCTGAGAGGCACTGAGGCACACCCATCAGCCGGCCTGATGTACAGTCAAGCAAAGTTTGCTGCTTGCCAGGAGCCAAGATCCAGGTTGTCACAGAGAGACTGCCACAACTGGTTAAAAGCGCAGACTACTATCCCCTACTTCTCTTCCATGTGGGCACCAATGACACGATAAAGCATAACCTGGGCGAGATCAAGCAAGACTTCAGAGCCCTGGGGGCACAAGTGAAGGGGACATGGGCCCAAGTGATCTTCTCTGTCTTGCAAGTCAGGGATGGGGGTGCAGGCAGAAGTCGACACATCATGCAGATCAACACCTGGCTTTGTGGCTGGTGTCATCACCAGGGCTTTGGCTTCTATGATCACAGGACATTCTTTGATGAATACAGCCTACTGGGGAGAGATGGGATCCACCTATCTAGAAGAGAAAGGAGAATCTTTGCTGGCAGATTGGCTGAATTAGTGAATCGCGCTTTAAACTAAGGAACTTAGGGGGTGGGATCCAAAGCCGTGACACTTGTGTACTCACAAGCAACAGGGTGGATGAGCACACCTACCGGAGTAGTGAGGAATGCCCCCCAGCCCTGCAGAAAAGGTTCCGCCAAAAAGGTGAGACAGTCGACAGTCCAACTGAAGTGTCTCTATACCAATGCACACAGCATGTGTAACAAACAGGAGGAGCTGGAAGCCACTGTGCAGCTGGAAACCTATGATCTGATTGCTATCGCTGAACCTTGGTGGGATGAATCACATGACTGGAGTGCTGCAATCGATAGCTATAAACTGTTCAGGAGGGCCAGGCAAGGAAGGAGGGCTGGGGGGATTGCCCTCTATGTAAAAAAATGGATTGATTGCACAGAGCTGTCTTTGAAAAACAGCAGTACACAGGTTGAGAGCTTATGGGTGAAAACTAGAGACCATGCCAACAAAGGAAACCTTGTGGCTGGTGTTTGCTACAGGCCACCTGATCAAGGGGAGGATGTTGATGAAGCGTTCTTGCTTCAACTACAGGAAGCATCATGCTCACAGGCTCTGATCCTGCTGGGGGACTTCAACCACTCTGACATCCACTGGAAAAGTGGCACAGCAAGCTGCAAGCAGTCTAAGAGACTCTTGGAGTGCATTGAGGATAACTTCCTAATCCAGGTGATAGAAAGCCCAACCAGAGGAGATGCATTACTGGGCCTGTTGCTCACCAACGCAGAGGAACTTATTGGAGAGGTCAAGACTGGTAGGTAGCCTGAGCTGCAGTGATCATGCCCTGGTGGAATTCATGATCTCGGGGGATATATGCCAGGCGAAAATTATAGTCAAGACCCGAAACCTTAGGAAAGCGAACTTTCAGTTGTTTCTCTGTGCTCTGATCACTGAACCAGGCTATCTTCTAAAACGTCACACAGCAATGACAGTGAAAGTGTAAAATTGACAGTTACTTCAAGAATTGTCCTTTTTTGAATAAAATTCATCAAAAGAATTTGAAGTCCATAGTGAGGACTAAATTCCTCTGGGAGATGGGCTGAGTGAGAGAGATGGGAAAGCTCCACCTTACCTAGTGCGGTGTTGCGTTGTGGGGTGCCCCTGCGCTTTGGGGATGCGGCGTTGTATTCGGAGAACTGCCCAGCAAGCTCCCAGATTGGAGGAGTCCCTGGGCCAAGCACTCTGTTTTGCCAGGGGCAGTTGCAGTGGCTATCACAGATTCATATAGGTCAAAGCTGACTTAACAGAGCATTTAATATGTTCCTGTGAAATAATATTCTGCTGGTTCATCCAAGAATTTGTGCGTTTTGAAACTTAAATCATTATCTCTCCTTAGGCTAGCAATGGGAAGTTACAGGATGTAGTGCTGTTCAGAACAGACAGGTTATTTTAGATGTTTGGGGAAGACTAAAGCTGTTCATTTTCTTGAAAAAAAAACATTATTTTTATGGGGAATGCTTTGAAGGGGAGGAATAAATTGAGGTGTTTTACCCCTAAAGCTTTTTGGGGCTTGTGGTTGAAAACCGATTTAATTATTTCAACTCCTTTTTTTTCCCCTCATTTGGGGGAAAAAGCAGAAGTGTTAAATCCTTATTTAGCTCTTGGTCCTTATTTTCTTGCTCTGCTTTTCACAGCTTTTCAGTGGCAGACACTAGTTTGACCAAAGTTGTGGATGGCCCATCATTGGAGGTGTTCAAGGTCAGGTTCGAATGGGCTTTAAGTAATAGTATCCTCAGAATAAGGAAATGTTCAGGCTCATATTTTCCAAGCTGAATAGCAGGCTAACATGAGAATCTTAACTGTGTCCAGTATCAGATATAGCTTTTTTCTCTCTGAAGTGTTCATTGGTTTTGACTGCATTTGTGGCATTCAGAAATCAAGGCTTCCACATTTTTTCTAACTGGCATCAGGATTTCTTTACCAAGAAGTCCATGACTGATGGAAAAAGAGTCCACATTGCCTGACTGTAACCACTAGAATCATGAAATGAGTGTTGGCTTAGCTTGATTTGTTTCTTTTTCTTGAACTTTAATTAATTTTTGTATTTTTTTTCCTCTGTATTTGTAAAGGGTAATAGCAGAAGCAAAGAAGAGGCCGAAGATGGAAAACTGTATTTCCAGAACTGCTTAAAGAGAACTGCTCAGTGTTGTAGAAAAGGACATGCAGCATCAGGACGACTATTCACTGTTACTGTAACTTATTGTATTATTTTGTCAAATATTTCTGTAAGTATTTAAAGATGTACAGATACGTAATATACAAAAGGACTTTGTAAAGTAGTATAATCTGGAGTCATTTGCCTCCAGTTAATAGAGTGGGGACAATATTGGTTTTGCTCTGTACTTATTGTATATTCATCTCTTTGCCGCAAGTTGTTTTTTCCCATGCTGCATTGTCACTTTTAATTAAAACAGCTAAACTGGGATCTCTTTGTGAAACTAATTTAGCTTTTTTTTGGTTATTTTTAAACTAAAGATGGATTGCTGCAGGTGAAGGGCCTGGAAAAATGCTAAAATCTCTGTGTTCTGGTTGAAACCAAACCCTAAGAATGGAGAACCTTAATTTAAAATACTAGAACAAAAGTTCTCCTCTCTTCATCTTTCTCCATCTTTTTTCTGTCCTTCTCCAAGCTGTTTTTTTAGAGCAGGTAGATGATCAAATATGTATTCAGAGCCAAACACATGCAACCAACATTCTATTTTTAAACCCAGTGATGGTGGGGTTTTTCTTTAAATACAGTGCCTGAACAGCAGCTGCAAATTCTTTGATGGGAAGGTGTATTTCTCCAGTGGCTTCAGGGAGTCCGTCTTTGCACGCAGACCTTCCCAGCACAGTGAATGGGGATAACCAGAATGCACAAATTTTCATGCCTTTTTCACTCACTTGAAAACACTTTGATATGAGACACTTGTTTACAGATCTCCAATGTGAACACTTGAAGAGACGGTGAGAGCCTGATGTTGTTCCCATAATACATAAGCTACTGTTTCGATGCATGCTAGGGGATAATGTTGTAATTGCCTACTGGTCCAGTTCACTAACATGAAAAGTCTTAATGACAAAAAGACGAGGGGCCTCAATTTAGTACTAGCAGCATAGTGACCTCAGGTCATAAAAACTCTGCAGCAAAACAGTATGATACTAAATGGAAACTACCTTCAACTGCCAGGTGTGTGTGCTCCTGTGTCAGAGGTCGGCAGAGCTCCCACTGACAATGCTGGTGCAGCCCACAGGCATGTGCTCCCTTTCTCCCTCCTCTTCCTCTGAGGTGACAACAGGAGGGAAAGGGGCAAGGAAGAGCTGTGATGTCTCCCATCTGCCCCTGCCCGATTCCTTGTTCTGTATGTTATGTGCGGGTGGCCTGTCTGCTGCTTCACACTTCGATAGTCACACTGGCAAAGGGAGAACTCAGTGGCTGGCAACATTTATTTTGGTTTGGGTTGGGTTTTTTCAAAACCGTTTTTAATTGTGGGTGATATTTATATTTTGTATCATAAGAATGCTTTCTTGCAGTATTTGTCATGCCAGTTTATACCAAACAAAATCATAGAATCATAGAATCTTTGGGTTAGAAGGGACCTTTAAAGATGCAGGGGTTTTATTTCTATTGGAAACACTATTACAGCTATGTTTTTCCTTTTTAATGTATTTTTATTTGTATAGAGTGCTTACTAATGTTAAATAGGAAAGAGTATATAACACATTAAAGACTCGTCAAAGCTTTTAGCATAAGGAGTTAAAAGCAAAAAATATTCAAACTGGGTCTCATCACCTGTCTATTTTGGTAGGAGTGGGTTTGTGTCATTTCAGTTACAAAGATAAAATTATGACATATAATTTATTTATGTGAAAATTTATTTTTGTAGTGTACATAGTAGTCCTCAAGTCTTTTGACAGAAGTATATTTTTAAAGAGTTTATATGCAGTGATGATAGCATTATGTTTTAGAACACTGCTGAAATGTGATTACGGTGCATACTTTTCCTTGAAAACCCCATGGCAGAAAAGAAAGTGTTAAACAGCATTAAGAGAGAAAGAGAGTGTGAATATTCATACAGTTCTGGATTGTGTTTTAGTTACCATTTGTGATCTAGTGTGGTTCTCATTTTAAACGTTGAAAGGAAATCGTACAAACTCTAAATGTTAATGTTCAAACACTGATAGACATTCTAACATGAATAAAAAAGTATAACTTATTGGTTATGGATTTTGTTTTTTATAGAAATTTTTTTTAATGTACTGGTCAACTATGCAGATACAATCAAGCAATTATACTGATTGCTATGGAGTAGCAATCATCCTTCAGGGTGCATGCTATATTATTGGTAAGTCTGCTACATACTGTAGTCAAATAGTTGTTGTATCATATGTCAGTTTGCGCTTTCATAGTTGGGGTTGAGCCTAAATCCAACTTGAAACATAGTCTTATTTCTTAGTTCAGGAAACTCAACCCCAAATCTGGAACTTCCATAATTTGGAGCACGAATTTGAGATTTTTGGAAGATTGAGATTTGGCCTGTTTTGGAGAAGGAGCTAATTCTAAAATCATAGACAAATTGTAAAATGTAGGTGCTTGTCTGTTGATTCTGTTGCCCTTTTTATGTCTCTGGGGGATTGGTATAGGGCTGGATTATACATTTCATTCTCTTTCTGAAATGAAGCATTTTGTGTAAACATTCAGCACTTGGGTAAGGCAGTTTATCATACAGGTTACTTCTGCTTAGAGGTGGGTAGAAATATTTTGCCTGTTTCCTTCTCTGTGGTTGTTCCTTAAACTGGATTAGAGAAATAGTCTATTTGTTCCTACTTTGTGTAACAAAAAAAAAATAAATCTGACTTCTGAAAACTATAGAGTCTAAGAGTCTAAGTGTTAAATCCTTATTTAGCTCTTGGTCCTTATTTTCTTGCTCTGCTTTTCACAGCTTTTCAGTGGCAGACACTAGTTTGACCAAAGTTGTGGATGGCCCATCATTGGAGGTGTTCAAGGTCAGGTTCGAATGGGCTTTGAGCAACCTGATCTAGTGAAAGATGTCCCTGCCCATGGCAGGGGGGTTGGAACTAGCTGACCCTTAAAAGTCACTTCCAACCAAAACCGTCCTGTGATTCTATGATTCTATGTTCCCAATATTTGTCCATCTCCAGTGTGCTAGGATCCCCTTTACTTCTCAGCTCCTTTTCACTGTCACCAGATCCTCTCAGTAGTCTACCAGTCCTCCTGTTGAGTCTAAAAGGTCTATTACATCCCCATCCAATTTCTCTCCATCTCTCACCCCATTTTCCAGCCCCCTCCTTTCATTTCTTTTTTGATTGCTATGGTACTAATATACTAGAGATTATAGTAGGCTACAAACATCTTTTTCCTGAGATGATATTATATTGACCAGACTCACCCATTCTTACTTTTTAATACAGTAAGATTCAAATCCATGAAGACAATGATATTCTATAAATAACATTCTTCTGAAAAATGTATTAGAATAGTTTTTTAGGAAAATGATTTATGCTGAGTGCGTTAAGAGACCTTTGTGTATATAATGTTGAGGGTCCTGAGATATAACATTACTAAGAACAGGTAAATGGAAAATGTTTTAAAACATGGGTAGCTTTTCATTTGTAGTATATAAACATTTAAATTCTGAAATTCCCCAATTTCTAAGACAATATCTAAGAACTCCAACTTAGTATCAAAATTGCTTAATTGGCAGAAAATAGAAATCAGGCCTTTGTCTAAGCTTATCCTTAACATTGCATAGATCAGCACTGCCACTGTCAAATGTGAACACAGAAAAATAGCCCTTTACTACAGTCTTGGTCACCAAATAAAGCAGGATGAGTGTTGCATAACGAGCATCCACAACTTCTCCCTTGCAAGAGAACTGTCATTTCTCTGCACTTCCGTACATCAGGTTGACTAAGCTGGATGATTAGGGGCACTCTAGATTTGGACACCAAACTTCGAATATGTTGAAAATGTTTATATAAAACATTCAAACATTTTTTTCCTCTCTGCTTCTCTTTATTACATTGGAAAACTCTTT